ATACATTGTTTTTTAGATTTCGCAGTGCCGAGCTGTGAAGCGAGAGTTTTACTTTCCACATCAATAGTCACAGATCTCGCCTAGCCAAAAATCATAAACATTGACCCTCTCGAAATCCAAATGTTGTAACAGTTTATTTTTCACATACCGTTTGACTTTTTGTAATAATCTACTATGAAATTGCAAAAGACTGATCGAACTCAATTGCGTTCCACAAAATCAAGAACGAGAGAGAAAGCGGTGACATTGGCACTAATTTAATGAATATGGTTTATGGGCGACTGAAACCCCAGGACTGAGTTTAGATGCCTTCATCATTGTTTAAACTGAATGTCAAATGCTCGGGAAAACAGTGGTGATCAGCTAAAAGCTATTTGAAACAACACTTCTGTTAGAATATGAACATATCATGGTGCTTGCCTAATCCTGAGTGCACGCCAAGCTTGCATATTTTCATGCTAATTGACAGTTTTTACACTATGTCGTGAAGATCCGGATAAAGAGTTTTGATTCCAAGGTCAAATGTTCATTTTTCCTGTCCAAAGAGGAATAAAAACACCAGAAACATGCTGATGCGTCTTAACGGAGACTATATGTCTGTCTGTCATGACACCTCGTTTAGAGGCAATAGGATTGTAAGAAAACACCTAAAATTTCAAAAAGAACTACAATTTCTTAAAAAGACGTTTTACTTTAGAGAAAATTAAAAGATTCGTAAGGAAAAACTCTAAATTTCAAGATTGTGAGATTTAGCTTTAGCAAAATGAATGAATCAACGACGCAACAGAGCAGCTCAGTTCCTTGACCTAAATAGCTATGGGTCATGAAATACTGGTTTAAAAACTGTTTTTTTTGTTTTATTTATTGAATTGTGGTTTATTTAAAAATAATATTAGTGTAATTCAAAATACTTATGTTAGACTTTCTTCAATTAAAATCACCGTCTGTAGACGAGACTGGAAATTAATCTGTTTTGTATAGCCGGAGTTTATACCAATATGTCTGAAATTTCCTTAAAGAATACGGAACTTTCTGGCACATTGATCAAACTCGATAAAAGTTTGAAAGTTTCATTGTAATTGCTGATATTTTGCATATGATCCAATAGGAAAGATCATATGAAACACCAATTATGAGATGCGTTCGCGAAACTGTCAAATAACAGTTGACTACCAATAGATGCAGAATCAACTACATTTTTGCATAAACCTATATCTAGCATTAGACACATACGTATAAATTCAACTTAATAACAATTACCTTTATTCATACTTACTTCAAATATAATGATGACCGGAGGTGAGTGTGCAAAAGAAGACAAGATAAATACTGTGTTATACTGCTAGCCGCCAACACTTGGCTCAGAATTTTTTCTCATTCCCATCACTGAATAGTCGACCCGAAAAAATATGAAAAAAATAAAACAAACTAGACCTAATTCATACACCGGATTGTTGCAAAGCTACAAGGACGCTTAGCAAACTCTCCGCATCTCAACATGCACTGTCTGGGGATACAATTTTATTGAGTCTATGTAATGCAGTCCAAGGGTTTTGAAATTGCGAGAAAATATCAAAAATCACAATAGAGAAGATACTGCAGTAAGGATTGTCTAGCAATGTAATTTATTTGGCAGTACCTAGTGAAAATCTCCCTCGATCAAATCGCTTGATATTTGTTTTTGCTGCAATTTCGAGAGCACCCTGGAAAATACCTCGTAATTTTAACGAAGCACTGAATAAATTGGTCAACGAAATGCAGTCTTGTTTCAAAACGCATTAACTTTTCTCTTCCCTCTGCAGTTCACATAAAGAATTTGAAACATCGAATGGCAAACTTAAATAATAACCATCTATTTACACGTTCCCATTTTGTGCTAGTCAATTTTTATGAGGTGCTTCCATTTTAAAACAAAATTGATTTGCTGTTTTGAGTAACCGTTTAAGCAAACCGTTGGAACAATGAATACATTTGAAATAACCTTACAAGAAGAAATTGAAGCAAACATTACCTCCGACGCAAGCATGCTGCTTTCTGCACCCTTGCTATGAATATGGAATGTACCATCTGGGTGACGAGCCATTACAGTCATTCGTTTTCGGTTCGAATCGAATTCCAGAATGACATCAATTTGAAAATCCAATCTCTCATAGGCCGACGGATTCATCGGTGTTCCCGTCCGACGAAGCACTCTGGCTTGTCTCCTTCCGGTGTCCGTTGCATCTGTTTGATTGGATATCAAAATGAGACCGAGGTGTGCTGCACCCTCAACGAGAGCTTTCTCGTCGGGAGAAGTTGCCTACAGTTGTTTGATAATGTATGGGAGCAAACATGAAACTGATTTTAAAATTATATTTTCTGTTCTGCATACGCTTGTTATTTTTCCCTATGATATGTATAAACCGCGTTATTTGAAGGAACGATTCGTATTGGTAAAGCAAAAATGATTTTGTTTCGCTGAAAAATTAACTAATGACGTGATCTCACGTAAATACAAGTGAACGCAAATATTCGGTCTGTTTATTGGGAAGAGAATAGATACCGTCCACTTTTAGTCTCTATCCGCTGATTGTGTACAACACTTGTATGTGACTGTTTGGTTTGACACAGGCAAAACATTACACTTCATACTGCGGGTTGAAGTTTCAAATTGAATAGCGACTGTAAAATAATTTTCCATTGATGGCAAAAACATAAAACCGAAAAGGATTAACCTGTGTACTCAGACACCAGACTGCTATCAGCAATTTGGTCCTCAAGCATAGCTTGAAAATGTTTTATTCTCTTTATCAAATTATCGCAAACATTTAATGATTTTTCTGCTTTCCTCAATATTGGAAAAGACTGAGTGGTGTAAATCATCATTGCTCAACTGCGATATCTCAATAATTAGGAGCTAGAACCCAAATAAACACCTTGTATTATAAACATCTAGCACCACTTGTTCTTTTGATTGGGGAAAGTACGAATTTAGAATGGAACATATTTTAGAAGTTCCGTGAGATGACTATTAATTTCATCAAGGTCACTAACCAATAAATTTAGAGATAGAGTGATTTAAATTACCAAATTCTAATGGTTTATTATTTGTTAAACTATTGTAGCTTCCAGGAAACTAACCTGTAATCCATTGTATTGTAAATGTTACCTAAAGACAAGAAATCTTATATTTAAATTTCTTTCTTTACTCAAATTTCGTATTATTTGTTTTTAAACAGAGTTCTATTTAGTCTAGAATTGTTTGTTCCCTTGCTGAATCAATTTCTAATTTGTAGTGACTCCGTTTCGTCACTCGTGTTTTACGTCACGCTTCTTTTTGTTTTACTGAACGTTGACGCGCGTGAGGACCCACACACTTCCACCTTGGTCGTTCAAACGCACCGTGCGACGTCACTGTGTTTCACATTCAAATACAGTGCATTCTGTCCAGGTCTCCTAGTCTGCCTTCTGTTTTGCGCATACGTCGGCTGTTGAGATCACTCTGTCGTATTGGTTTAACGTTACGACTCGTGGGGAGTGTCCGGGGGATTAGTAATACCGTCTATTTAACTAACCAGGGCCAAGCGTGGACGGAGCCAGTGCACCTTACAAGTTGGTGAGCCCGAGCGTGGACGGAGCCGGTGTACCTTACACATTTCCTATATTCTTACCTGACGCACTTAAAAGCCTAATACGGTTACAATAAATTTGGTCTAGCATTTGAAAACGTTCATATTTATTATGGGTAAATCTGTTTGGAAAATGAAATAACACATTCGAGTAATTCATTTTAATTTAGCAAGGTTAGCAAAAACTAAATCATTCAAGTAAAATATTAAGCTTTTGATATAATTCAAGGTTAATGACGAAGTTCGTTCATTGTGTGGCTTGTCTTGTTTTATAATTGTTTCACTAACGAATCCCCGGCGGTTGTTTAATGTATATTCCATAACCCTATAAATTCATTCGTTATTTTTCTCAGTCATTCTACCTTAGACTCGCCTTTCTTGCATTTATGGAACAATTATTTAAATGATTTATTGATATTTACATAGATCAACTTATTTCTTCTTCGATTTCATGCAACTTTGCCCAAGAGATTAACAAAAATTCAGTTTTACAATGGTAAAATACTGTAGAATAATATAGAATATGTAGAATAAGCTTTTATTTGGCATCAAGTACATTTCCCATGAATCTTTATCGACCAATATTCCACAACGTTTTTTAATCAAACCATCCAAATAAACCAGCTCTATTGATCCTAAATTCAAAACCCATTGTTTAATAGCCACAATAAATGCTTTTTGATAATATTTGATTAAATAAGCATACAAAGTAGTGTCAAGAGCAGGTAAAACCAAACACGTACTTTTGCACCAGAATTTTAAACATTTTAACATGAAAAACTACATATTTGTCCTAATAAATTAAAAATACATTGTTTTATAATTACCATTTTGATAACAATGGATCTCATGATATCTTCGAAGAAAAACGTATGCAATTTAATAAGAAAACTTTGCGAGTATGCACCCAGTTTCTGGAGATTTTCACAACCCGGTATTAGCAAATAAATATCTCAGTTTTCAAAGTGAAAGGATGGAAACATTAGAAATTTTAATTGTGTTATCTATTCTATGATTTATAATAATAATGTTGTTGATAAATCAAATGCGTAACTCAAATAACTAATTTCTCAAAACAAAATTGGTTAATGTGATAGGCTGGTAGTTTTCTACACATCAAGAAAATTTGTAAGTACTATTTCGATCTTTCACTGCTTTCGGTTTATCTATATTCACTTACAGCATAAAGCATGTAGTCTCTAATAGGCAGGGCTCGTCACAAAATAAACCTTTGTTTCATTATAATACTTTGCCTGTTATGGATTATCTATTTAACTAAATATTGGTCTAACTATTTTTTCCTAAAGATATGTACTGCTCTGAGACATCATCTATTTTTATGAATCAATCAAAAACGTCAAAAACCTGTATTTTGTTGTTTTGCTAAAGATTTTACGGAGAAGACTCCTGGACCTCGAGCAAAGGCAAATATAATGACATACTTACTTGATAATCTCCATGCAATAAATCCCTGTTTTCTTTTGAACCCGTTTCATTCTTTACCTCGATTGTGTGACACAGAACAGAAACTGTCAGAAGTTGCATTGCATCCTTTGTATCAAACTTGCTATTTGTAACACTCTGATCAGATTTTGTATTATCCAAATTGCCGTCAAACAATCCATCATTCGCTGCCAATTTTTCGGGGGCATCAGTTGGATTATTTGTTTCTCCACCCATGGAAAGAACGTGGTTTGAGGGGAAAATTGCAACCCTTTTTAGCACCATTATATTTTGCGTCAGCGTTCCCGTTTTATCGCTGAACAAAAACTCAACTTGTCCCAGTTCATCAGTTGTATGAACAGTCTTTGTATTTGTTTTCATGTCCTGTTTGTAATCATACATTTCAATATCACTAGATATTAAGTAGGCAGAAACTATTTGCTGTAGCTCGAGCGTAACAATGAGTGAAATGGGAAGTATGGAATTTGTGGTGAATGTGAAAGTCAAAACATTTTGCACAAACTCCCACGGAGAAAATTTTGGGCGTGTAATGTACCACACACTATTCACATTGTGAGTTAACCATACAGTTGCACCGATTGCGAAACTGATGCTCAGTGATATGGACAAAAAGACAAAAATGAGTAAATTGGTATTCAAAATTCCTTCGCGAGATGTATACTTTCGTGAAACAGCTTTTGAATTTAGAGATAACTTGGTGTCTTCGCCGGTATAAATTGGCATTCCGACCACGTAGTCCGTGTTTTTAAGTTTTGTACCTCTGAGTACAATGTTTTCCAGTAAAATCACGTCCTTTACCGTATCAAAACATGATATTTCCTCAGATTTTGATGAAATCCTCCCCTCGAAATGTTTCAAATCAATAGTTGGAGCTTCACATTCCACTTGAATTAGCAAATTTGTTGCCCAAGTTAATGAGGCGATAGAAATGGAACTTCGCATATTGGATAAGCGATGATAAGCATCTTGAGTGAGCTTGTGAGCATAATGTGTCTTCAAAGATGTTTCACCATCTAAATTAGCTGTGGTGATTTCAACTCTCCCTCTCTTGTCACTTGAAGCAAGAAGAAGCATATCACATGGAAACTCGTCGTCTTCCCGGCATATGATAATATCACCAACTTGGATATCTCTTGAGCGCTTTTCCTTCCACATCATTGCGCACTGCTCAGTATCAATCTGCAGGTGCTCGAAAAGTCGATTGTTGATTGCGCTGTCCTGTTTGTGACGAAATATATCATATATGCCATCTTTCAGCATTGCAACCGACATGTTGAAAGCCAACGGTATGAAAACGGAGAAGAATCTTGTCACACCGCTTGAGAATAAGTAGATGAATGCTATGATAGCAAACGCTAGATTTGAGATGTGATGCAACTGCTCAAATAGATTGCGTGGAACGAAATTCCACCATGTGTAGTGTGAGGTGATAATACGGTTATCACAGTAGTTATTTTCTTCTAACTGAGTAACTGGATTGAAAGATATCAAATTATTGCCATTTATAATCCTACGGCCAGTGTTTTTCGGTCGATAGCACGGTAAACAACTACACATTATCGTGTTATCAGATTTGAAAAAGGGTTTAGTTTCAAGGTCAGCTTAGTTCAGTTCAGTTCAGTTGCACAGGACGAATATGGCTCTTGCCAATCGAGCGTCCA